TATATATTGGCATTTTTATCTGACAGCCCAAGAAAACGGTAATTTCCATCACAAAGTAAAAACGTGTTTTGAAGGGAAACTAATTAAATATCTTCTGTAATAAATATATTTGATTAAATAGCTCACACATCTCTGATCAAATTTGCAATTTATTTATTTTTCAGAAATGTAACTGTAAAGATTTTACATTGTTGTTTACACTAAAAACACCTAAAACCAGATCGCTGGAACATTTATTTTACTTATCATAGCTCAAAATCATGTATTTCTTAAAGTGTATACATATATCTTATACCATAACTGCTCAATTACCAACACCACCGAATATAGTTGGTTTGATTGTATGTTTTTTATATAAGTTTTACTTTAAAATATGTGTTGTGGTGGAAATGACACGTGGCGGAAGAGACAGCGTGTGGCGGAAATGACATAGATAGGCAACTTCCAATTAAAAACTCTTTTTCTACTGCTCTATGTGGTGAACCAAAGCAAATCAATAAGCAACAGTATTGGTAAACAAAAACATATAAATATTTTTAAATGAAAAATAATCCAAAAAATTAAAAAAAAACATGAATATGTGTTAAAAAATCTTATCAAACTTATCTATTGTTCGCTTATTTACCCACAATATTGTAGCAATAATAAATAATAAAATATTTCTTACTACCTTAACTTAATTAATTGTATGTTTTTTGTTTTTACATTAACCTTTTAGTATCATAGCTCAAAATAATTTGTTGTTTAGCACGAACAATGTCATTTCCACCACAACCTGTCTTTACCACCACAATGAACACCGTGGTGGAAATGACATTTTCCCCCTTTCCTTCTAAACTATCATGAAATGTTAGCCTGTTAATATTAGTTTTACAGTTAGCATTAAATATACACAAATTACACATTATTAAATTGATTTTATCCAGTTATTTTGTGAAATATGAGCCATTTGGAAATGACGGCCAATAAACATATTCTCAGTTTTAGTCATATTTACCTTGATTTTTCTTCTTTTCGTTACCCCCTAAAGAGGTCACCAGTTCACCCAGCCATGTGTTCACTGTGGAGTTTCTATTGCTATGGTTACTAAGTATTCAAACCTAAAACAATGATCCCAGGATTCTATTTTGTACAGTGTGGCGGAAATGACAGTGAACCCGAGGGACAAGGGTTCTACATATTAATAAATATAAGAAACTGTGAATAAATATTGCAATATATAATATGTATAATTGAAATAGACATTATTTTATAATTTATACTTAAAATCTACATTATTTAATTATTTGATTTAGAATTAAGCGAGGTTGAAGGTACAAAGTCTGGCTTAGGGACAGGGGGAAAACAGTAAAAATCATGCATAAAAGGCCTCATATTATATAATAAAAAGAATGATTGAGCCATGATAAATTTTTTATAAGTTCCCCTCAGGGTGAAGTAAGTCTGACAAAAACAAAAAAGAAGAAATGTTTTTTTTAGACTTTATTATTTCATCCAGGGACAAGAAAACTACCATAGTTAAAGAATTACCCTAATTCACACGCTTAATCTCTCTCTCTCTCTCTCTCTCTCTCTCTCTCAAAAGACAAAAGACTCTCTCTGTCTTCAAATACAACATCTGCATTATGTCTTAAGGTGTGGTAAGCAGTAAAAAATAACTCTGGTCCCTTGAATTATTGGAAAATAATGCACACACGAGGTAATGTAATGTTAAACCTGCATTTTCAACGACCTGTTGTCAATTAATCCTTACATATGGTCATTTCCGAGTGAGCTTTAATGAGATGTGTGAGTACCGTTGAGCATTCGTTCTCCATTGCTGCTAAGAGTCTCTTCAGAACAAACATCACAAAAGAGAGGCTGCATAATGTAAGCCAACTGCTTCCTTTAATTAACCCGAGCTCGCTTTGTGTAGGGAGAGTGAGAGAGAGACTGACTCATCATGTTTAAATATCAATTCTTACATGAATATACTTCATCTAACTAATCTACTCCAAACCAATATGGCCAGACAGAACATCTCCAGCACGGATCTTTAAAACTCTCTGCCTACTTGAGCTCTTGTTTCAGTCCCACACGTGCCCTGAATAGACGTCACCTTCTCTTATTATCTCATAAATTAAGTGTTACCACTGAAAAGACTGTACAAAGATTCCCTTTTATGTTCCTAATGTTCACATTTCTGGCCATAATGTCAAGGGAACAGACTAAAAGATGTTCAAAGGCTCCTGGGACTCCTGGCCGTGACAGTATCTGTGTCGTCTCCAGATCTCTGAGCTCAGGCTTTGATCCACCAGCGCTCCTCAACTCCCTCCCTCCCCAACCCCTGCCAAACGCCTGTGCTGTTGATAGGAGTTTGTTTGTCTTCCGCCAGGTGGGTTTTCCTCAATTTACACACTGTCTACACCTCAAACTCTGACATGTGAGACATCACAGCTTAGATGCAAGAACACTGAGTGAGGAATTATGTAATAATTATTTTTAACCTACCCATGAACAGAAACATGTTTGTGTCAAGGTGTGGTTACACTACTTGGGTCTCCCATCCATAAATCCATCTTTTCTTCCATCCACATACATAAAATCCATCTTTCCATCCATCCACATACATGAAATCTATCCATCCATCCTTCTTTCCTTCCATCCATCCACAATCATAAAATCCATCCATCCTTCCATCCATCGATCGATCCACAAACATATAATCCATCTTTCCATCCATCCACATACATGAAATCTATCCATCCATCCTTCTTTCCTTCCATCCATCCATCCATCCATATAAAATCCATCTTTCCATCCATCCATCCACATACATGAAATCTATCCATCCATTCTTCTTTCCTTTCATCCATCCACAATCATAAAATCCATCCATCCACATACATAAAATCCATTCATCCTTCCATCCATCGATCGATCCACATACATATAATCCATCTTTCCATCCATCCACATACATGAAATCCATCCATCCTTCCATCCATCGATCGATCCACATACATATAATCCATCTTTCCATCCATCCACATACATGAAATCTATCCATCCATCCTTCTTTCCTTCCATCCATCCATCCATCCATATAAAATCCATCTTTCCATCCATCCACATACATGAAATCTATCCATCCATTCTTCTTTCCTTTCATCCATCCACAATCATAAAATCCATCCATCCATCCACATACATAAAATCCATCCATCCTTCCATCCATCCATCAATCCACATTGCCAACCCGATCTCACGACCAAGTCGTACGAATTCGACGAATGATTAAAAAGTGGCTAAATTGTAACAATTCATACGACCTCACTCGTACGAATAAGTACGATTTTGCTAAATTGTACATATTTTACGAATTGGCCAACTCGTATGAATTCATACTAACCATGAACGCCCCTAACCTAACCATCACGTGGGTTTAGACAAATCGTACGAATTCGTACGAGTGAGGTCGTACGAATTAGTACGAATTAGACACTTTTTAATCATTCGTCGAATTCGTATGAATTGGTCGTGAGATAGTGTTGCAACACATGCATAAAATCCATCCATCCATCCATCCATCCATCCATCCACATATATAAAATCATTCCATCCATCCATATACACAACACAAGAATTAAAAACAAATAGCTGGATATCATATCATGTTGTCCACATTTGTTCCAGAAACCAAAGTTATTTCACATACATAAAGCCTAGTGTGAACGCACCTCACAATGTTGATTTGACAAAATGTAAAGATTTCCTGCATTTCATAAGTCAATATTTGTTGTATTGTCATAGTCAAGTCACCTTTATACAGCGCTTTATTCAGTACAGATTGTTTCAAAGCAGCTTTACAGTGATAACAGGATAACAATGGCCAAGTATGCAAACTGAATTCAATTCTGCTATAGTTTCATTATTGATCATTCAGTCTCATAAATCATATATAATAATATATAATATATATATAATATAAATAATAATAAATGATATAAATAATATAAATAAAAACATTATTACAAGCATACCGCTTTGAATCGAGCTAAGGCAAGCAGATAGTGTTTAACACTGGCTGGTTATGTATTTTCTCAAATATGTATTTTGCATAATTTTTAACCCAAACAAAGCTTTCAAGTAAGGTTAACTTATTCGATTTTTCTCGCGCAGCAAATCAGCCTATTGTGATTTGAGAAGGATCACGTGACACTGAAGACTGGAGTAACGATGCTGAAAATTCAGCTTTACCATTACAAGATAAATTACATTTTAACATTTGTTCAAATTAGAAAATAGTTATTTGAAACTGTAATAATATTTCACAATATTGCTGTTTTTGCTGTATTTCTGATCAAATAAATGCAATCTTGGTGAACATGAGACTTCTTACTGACTGCAAACGTTTAAACAGTTATTCTGCTGAAATGCTTGGTGTTTTTGTTTGAATGAAAAACATCAAATATTATGTATTCAGAATTCAGAATTCAATATTGTTGCTATTTTAATATGGTGCTGAAAATGACCCAGTTCAGGAGTTATTGTATAAGAAAAATGCATTGACTGTGGTGTATGTTAAAAGTATAATAATTTACAATTTTACAATATTTATTAAATGGTTTAATATGAATTAAAAACCACTAACTAGCACATGCTTTATATGTGTTGTCTAAATTTTAGATATTAGATAAATAAACGGTTGTTTGGTGTAGTATCATAATGTGCATCCGTTAAATTGACAGGCTTATGCTCTTATAATATTTGCTTTTTCAGATTTCAGGACAGACTTTTTGCTCTCCTGTAGACGTTTTTGTTCCAGTGAGGCGGTATCTCCTCACAAACAGATCTTTTTTAGTGTGTGCAGAACGTCAAAGAGAATATGAAAAGGTACATCTCTCGTATGAATATCCCCATGACGTGAGAAGCTGCTCATTTTCCATTTGCTGTCAGGAGGACGATTAACTCTCCACCCCTCCTCTCCCTTTTCAGGTCCTCATAAATACCAAATCGCACAGTCTCAATGCAGTACAACACTCGTGGCACATACGACTGACAAGCTCGTTTAAATAATAAAAAAACACCAGCATGTACTCAACTAAAAGCGAGGGACCGCGCAGAGGAAGATCTTTTGACTCCATGAACCTTGGTCTGACTTTGGAAGAGAAGCAACTTAACAATGAGGTAAGTGCTTTTTCCTCATCAATTGGTCAATTTGCATACTTTTTAAAATGATATTATCTACTCGGGTGAGAATTCAAGTTCTCAACAGGTGAGGGACAGCAGTTTCTACACAAAAAAACGATAAATTTAGATTTCTAGGAAGCATAGAGCATGGAGGAAACCGTGATGCGACTAAGCTCTCCGATTAGTTTTATGCCTAACATATCCATGTTTGACGCTGTTACCAATGACTCTATCCAATCATCCATGCATCAAATTAAGTACACTTAACAGAGATGTGCGTGGAAGAGTGATTAATTGCAGCCTAATCCCAGTGTTAGATTAAAACAAGAGGGCGCTAATAATAGGCTTCCTCGCTCTCCAAATGAGATTGTTTTAAGACGACAGACACTGGTTTGTCTTTGTTGAAGCGAGACGGTGAATCGCAAGACTCTGAGCCCTGCCACGGTCAATGCACTAATGCTGTCTGGGATCCTGCTGACGGGAAGACGAGGACAGGGGCGATTACTCTGCCACATGCGTGATAAAAGAAACATGGTCAGTAGATGACTGGCTTTGGGGGTCGCTTAAAACTGCTAGTTTGTAGGTTAAAATTAGTAACACTTTAGGTAATATTAGTTCATTTATTTACTAACATGAAGTAACAATGAGCAATACATTTGTTACAGTATTTATTCATCTTTGTTAATGTTAGCTCATTAAAAACAGCCGTTTATTGTGTGTTCATGTTAGTTCAGAGCGCATTCACTAATGTTAACAAATACAACCTTTGATTTTAATAATGTATTAGTTAATGACATGAATATTATAAGAGGAATAAATGCTGACAAAATATTGTACATTCTTAGTTCATGTTAATAAGGTAGTTAACTAATGACTAAATAAATTAAAATATAATGAAATAAAAATATATTTAAATTATGCATTTTATTATATTAAATTCAGCATTCTTAAAATGCAATGATGAATTAATAAATGATTAATTTATTTAATACCGTTTAATACTATTTATTTATTTAATAAATATTTTTCTGGATACTTTTGGCATTTATGTTTTTATATATTTATGTATTATGTATTTACTCTGTTGCCATTGAAGGAGCTTGTTTTCTCATGGTGTTAAAATAAACAAAAGAAATTATTAAAAATAAATAAATAAACTAGTGTATACCAAAAAAAAAAAGAATTTGGTTCATTTGTTTGCATGTGTTTCATACTTCATGGCCTCGATTGATTAACATTTAAGTTTTTGCCTAAAATTTACCTTTTTTAAGTTTGTCTGGATCCTTTTCTTTTTTCATTGTATCTTGTTGGATTGATGCCACCTGTACACTGTAAAAAAAAATATTGTTGGGTTAACTTAAAAAAGTAAGTTTGCCTTAAAATTTGTTGATTGAACTGAAAAAAGTGAGTTAATACAATGATGGAGATTAATTTAATCATCAGAAACTCAAAATAATAAGTTATCTCAACTAAATAAATTATTTAAGTTGATTTGACAAAAGAAAAAATGTTTTGATAACAAATCTTGAAAATATTTTGCGTACTGGTGTTTGGTGCTACATTGTCTTCTTATACATTATAAATATTTTCAGTTATTAATACTCACAGTTATCGGTATGATTTCTTGAACCTAATCCCAAGTCTGCAACCTTGGGGAAGGTCTCGTGCGGCGTCCCTCTGTTAGCGCTTATGTTAAGCAGGTCATGACGACGGGCGCTGTCCACGGTGCTGAACGACGCAGGAACCAGCACCTTTAATCCTGTTTGCAGGACTTTATAGTAGTTTAGGATTAAAAACAAACCCCTCAGCTGACTGAGTAAGCAATGTCTACATTGGTGATTGTGCTTTAAAACGTCAGCAATAGGATGCGGCATCAGTTTACTGTCAGGAATTTGTTGTCACGTCGCACCCTATCTAGTGTAGACAACATCATTGATTGCAATGAATTTTATTTGCTTTTTTCGCGTCACGTCACGCCAGGACAAGAACAAAAAAATCTAATAAAATGTACAAAATTGTAAAAACTAATACAATTAAAGCTGAGATTTAATTTTTGCCTTTATAAAAATAACATCCTGCAGTGATAAATTCATTGTTGATTGAGTTGAAACTTAGTCAACTCACTGTATTAAAAAGTGCAAACACTGTAAAATAATCCATTTTCCATCATGATGGAAAATGTATTATTTTACAGTGTTTGCACTTTTTAATAGGAATATTCAAAACGTTTAAATACAAGGAAAGTTGTATGTGTGCCCTTAACCGTATAGGCCTTCGGGGTCTGACCCCAACAATTGATTAATTGTACAAAAAATATAAATTTTTAATCATACAAATAATATATCATTTTTGTTGTTTACTTCTCATCTATTCATTAATGCTGTGTTTTTGGAGATGAAGAAGTACTTTTGTATCCATATACCACACAATTCCTCAACTACACCATTAGCTTGCATATTAAATAATATTTGTTATGATACATTGCATTTGCTCTAGTACTAGGCCTTCATTTCTGTGTAAAAAAATTTCAGATTTATGCCGGATAAATTTTTTTGACACATGAAGAAAATATATTTAGTTTTTTTCACATTTCCCATTCATTTCAATGTGGGGTCATATTGACCCCGAAGACCAGAATTGTAAACATTTTTTTTTACATACCTTCAGAACAACCGAATCAAGCCCAGTTTTTTGTGTGTGTGTGTGTGTGTATAGATAGATAATGTATGAAAAGTCATAAAATCTTATTCCACTGAGATGAAGGGAACCATTTTTTTTATTAAGTAAAAGTCGATTGGGGTCGTGTAGACCCCATGACCCGATTGAGGGTTAAGATATTGAGTGTTGTTTATGACACTCTTTCTTTAATCCATATGACCTCATTGACAAGATTTAAAGTAGGCGGATGTTGTTGATGCTACAAATAAACATCAAATCATGTAAAGCAATACATGATTTTGATGACCTATTTCTACCTGACCTAACCAATCTGTTTCACACATGTTTTACAGATGAACAAATCTGCTTTTCCAAAGATCGAGGAGAATAAAGACAACAAAACGGCTTCTACTGAGAGGGGTCGGGCTGCTGTTGTGTTCTCTCTGAAAAATGAAGTCGGTGGGCTCGTCAAGGCACTAAAACTTTTCCAGGTGAAGAGCAGATCGATTTGTTAGGATTTTCTCGCATTCCTTTATTTGATTAAAAACCTTATCCTGTTGTACAATTAACCATCAGTTATAAATCAACAGGAAAACCACGTCAACCTTGTGCACATTGAGTCCAGAAAATCCAAAAGGCGCAACTCTGAGTTTGAGATCTTCGTAGACTGCGATAGTAACCGCGAGCAGCTGCACGAGATCATTCAGTTGCTGAGGAAACACGTGAACGTGCTCGAGATGGACGCTCATGACAACCGCCTGCCAGAAGAAAGCGGTACATGAATTAAATTAATGACACTGTGACTTTTTTTATAACTATAAAAATACTCAATATTTAAATGTTTGTTTGTTTTTTTCAGAGATGGAGAATGTGCCGTGGTTCCCGAAGAAGATTTCAGATCTGGATAAATGTGCGAATCGAGTGCTGATGTACGGATCAGACCTGGACGCGGATCACCCGGTGAGTGCGGCAACGCTAATGTAACGCTAACGCTAATGTAATCATGTCGCTTACTGTTTTGCTTCTGTTTCAAAAGGGATTCAAGGACAATGTATATCGCAAAAGGAGAAAGTACTTTGCAGACTTGGCGATGAGCTACAAATAGTGAGTTTTTAGTAGCTTATTAAAATGTAGTAATATATATATATATATATATATATATATATATATATATATATATATATATATATATTAGGGCTGTCAAACGATTAATTGCAATTAATCGCATCCAAAATAAAAGTTTGTGTTTACATAATATATGTGGGTGCACTGTGTATAATTATTTTATATATATAAATACACACACATGATTGTATATACACTCACCGGCCACTTTATTAGGTACCCCATGCTAGTAACGGGTTGGAACCCCTTTTGCCTTCAGAACTGCCTCAATTCTTCGTGGCATAGATTCAACAAGGTGCTGGAAGCATTCCTCAGGGAGTTTGGTCCATATTGACATGATGGCATCACACAGTTGCCGCAGATTTGTCGGCTGCACATCCATGATGCAAATCTCCCGTTCCACCACATCCCAAAGATGCTCTATTGGATTGAGATCTGGTGACTGTGGAGGCCATTTGAGTACAGCGAACTCATTGTCATGTTCAAGAAACCAGTCTGAGATGATTCCAGCTTTATGACATGGCGCATTATCCTGCTGAAAGTAGCCATCAGAAGTTGGGTACATTGTGGTCATAAAGGGATGGACATGGTCAGCAACAATACTCAGGTAGGCTGTGGCGTTGCAACGATGCTCAATTGGTACCAAGGGGCCCAAAGAGTGCCAAGAAAATATTCCCCACACCATGACACCACCACCACCAGCCTGAACCGTTGATACAAGGCAGGATGGATCCATGCTTTCATGTTGTAGACGCCAAATTCTGACCCTACCATCCGAATGTCGCAGCAGAAATCGAGACTCATCAGACCAGGCAACGTTTTTCCAATCTTCTATTGTCCAATTTCGATGAGCTTGTGCAAATTGTAGCCTCAGTTTCCTTTTCTTAGCTGAAAGGAGTGGCACCCGGTGTGGTCTTCTGCTGCTGTAGCCCATCTGCCTCAAAGTTCGACGTACTGTGCGTTCAGAGATGCTCTTCTGCCCACCTTGGTTGTAACGGGTGGTTATTTGAGTCACTGTTGCCCTTCTATCAGCTCGAACCAGTCTGGCCATTCTCCTCTGACCTCTGGCATCAACAAGGCATTTCCGCCCACAGAACTGCCGCTCACTGGATGTTTTTTTCTTTTTCGGACCATTCTCTGTAAACCCTAGAGATGGTTGTGCATGAAAATCCCAGTAGATTAGCAGTTTCTGAAATACTCAGACCAGCCCTTCTGGCACCAACAATCATGCCACGTTCAAAGTCACTCAAATCACCTTTCTTCCCCATACTGATGCTCGGTTTGAACTGCAGGAGATTGTCTTGACCATGTCTACATGCCTAAATGCACTGAGTTGCCGCCATGTGATTGGCTGCTTAGAAATTAGGGGTTAACGAGCAGTTGGACAGGTGTACCTAATAAAGTGGCCGGTGAGTGTATTTAAGAAATATTTTCTTGTATATACTGTATATAGATTTCTATATAATTTATATTATATATAAATAAAAATATTTTATATATAAATAATATTTTTTTCTTAAATATACATGCATGTGTGTGTATTTATATATATACAAAATAATTATACACAGTGCACCCACATATATTATGTAAACACAAACTTTTATTTTGGATGCGATTAATCGCGATTAATCGTTTGTTCAGCCCTAATATATATGTGTGTATGTGTGAGTGTAAACATATATATATATATATGATAGATAGATACACATATTATATAAACACAAACTTTTATTTTAGAATCGATTAATCAGTTTAGAATCGATTAATCGATTAAGAACCGGTTAATCAATTTAGAGTCGATTAATTGATTTGCCGGTGTTCTGTCGATTTTTGCTGCCTTGTCGAAAAATGCTACCGTAGCGCGAATTGATCACAGAATGCCGATTAAAGTCGTATGAAATACAATTATAATACAATTCTAGGTTATGAGTAGCTACTGTATACTGTAGAAGACTATTTTTACTTTTAAAACGGTGTGAAAAGTAAAAATTATCATAAAATATATTCATCTTTGACTTGTCAAAGTACACCTTTCCTCATAGTAACTGAAAATTTCAGTTATTCTTTTTCAGCTGGCTGACCGTACAAATATTCATATGGTAGTAAGCATTTTTTAAAGGGAAATTATATATTATAACAGGAAAATGTACCTTTTGTAAAAAAAGAAAAAAAAATCTGAGTCTGCACATGCGCAGAACCGGTAAGTAGCAAATCTCGATGGGTAGCATGAATTGTCAGGACACCGGCACTAATTTATTTACAGTATATATATATATATATATATATATATATATATAATCTATCTATCTATCTATCTATCTATCTATCTATCTATCTATCTATCTATCTATCTATCTAGTCTGTCTAAAATACTATGTTTCCACATGAAGTCTAATGTAAGTTTTCCTCTTCCATCAGTGGAGATCCCATTCCCCGTATTGAGTTCACTCAGGAGGAGGTGAAAACATGGGGAGTTGTGTTCAGGGAGCTGAATAAACTCTACCCCTCACACGCCTGCCGTGAGTACCTGAAGAACCTGCCCTTGCTCATCACACACTGTGACTTCCGTGAGGACAACATCCCACAGCTGGAGGACGTCTCGCGCTTCCTCAAAGGTGAGAGAAAGGGATGTCAGTTTAGTCTGCTGGGTTTGTTTAGGAATTATAGACTACTATAACGTTGCTTGATGAACCGTTTTAGAGCGTACTGGCTTCACCATCAGGCCTGTGGCTGGGTATCTCTCCCCACGAGACTTCCTGGCAGGTCTCGCCTTCCGCGTGTTTCACTGCACTCAATATGTCCGACACAGCTCAGACCCCCTCTACACACCCGAGCCGTGAGTACACCAATTATCAAATTGTTTGATAAATACACGCAGGGCCTATAAATGATGATGATATCACCATCACTATAATAAATTCACAGAAAAACTGTGTTATATATTTTTATATTTTAATATATGTATTTACTTATATTTTTTAAGTATAATTTAATGTATATATTATTTATTTTTATGTATATATACAATATTTTATAATGTGAATGCTTGTGTGTAAATAAATTTAAGAACATTTTTATATAATGCCAACACTTAATTTCTATGGTCCACTTTAGACATTGTACTAACTAGGGCTGGGTATCGTAACAAAATTTTCGATACCGATACCGATACCTTGACTTCGATACAAGTTCCTGAACGATACCTTTTTCGATACCAATTTTATGTAACCAGTTTTAACAATATAATATTACCTACATTTTTATTTTATTTTTCAGTTTGTTGACTTTTTCACACTCATATTTTGAGTATAACGCGTAAACTAGCGTTTTACGCCACAGCCAATCATGCTGCATGCTTATTGTCTCACTGACGTTGACGAGATTAACCACTTAGGTACCGAAATTTGGTACCGAAAAACAAGACGTTTCCATACTCGGTAGTACCGAGGCAATTCGGTCGGTACCTAAAAAGTACCAGCCCTAGTACTAACTATAGGTAACTTTGCAACTACAAGTCAACTAACTCTCATTAGAGAACACATAATACACATAACATATAACACATAACACGACTAATATTCATAAGGTTACTTATAGTCAATAGATTTTCTGAAGGGGACCATCAAAACAAAGTATAAAGTATATATACTTATATAAGTATATATATATAGTATATTCAAAATAATGTATATCTTTGTATATATATATATATATATATATATATATATATAAACTAACACTTTAGTTTAGGGTCCAGTTCTCACTACTAACTAGTTGCTTATTAGCATGCAAATTACTAGGATATTGACTGTTTATTGGTTCTCATAAAGCACATATTAATGATTTATTTTGCATGACCATATTTTACATCCCGCAATCCTTAACATCCACCTTACTAAATATTAATAAGCAGTAATTAGGAGTTTATCGAGGCAAAAGAGGTGGTTCATAGATGGTTAATCGTGAGAATTGGACCCTAATCTAAAGTGTGACCACATATGTATTGTTATATTGAATATGTTTGTCTGTTTTAGAGACACATGCCACGAGCTGCTTGGACACGTTCCTCTATTGGCCGAGCCCAGCTTTGCTCAATTCAGTCAGGAGATTGGTCTCGCGTCACTGGGTGCATCGGATGACTCCATACAGAAACTTGCTACTGTAAGTAATAACAGGCCTTGAGATTTGACCTTTAACCTTTTAGTGAGAGGTGTTTTGATGTGAGTACATATTTAATAATGCAAAATGAGTATTCATCACTGCCATATTGTGTTTCAGTGTTATTTCTTCACTGTGGAGTTTGGCCTCTGTAAACAGGAAGGGAAACTAAGAGCGTATGGGGCCGGTTTGCTGTCCTCCATCAGCGAGCTAAAGGTAATGAAACACAAAAGCTTTCTCTACATGATGTGAAGAGCATGATTTTTACCTTATAGAGAGATGACCTATTCCCTTTTCTTCCAGCATGCACTGTCAGGAAATGCCAGGATCTTGCCCTTTGACCCCAACGTGACAAGCAAACAGGAGTGTATCATCACCACCTTTCAGGATGTCTACTTTGTTTCGGACACCTTTGAGGAAGCAAAAGTCAAAATGAGGTGAGTGGGCAATCATAAACAATGAATAATACATTTAAAAGTAAGTATTAACTGCTTATCTCATCTGAGTATTTAACCCTGTGCTTTTGAAATGAATCTTTTAGAGAGTTTGCAAAGACCATCAAGCGGCCATTCTCGGTACGCTACAACCCGTACACGCAGAGCGTAGACGTTCTGAAGGACACGGCCAGCATCAACAACGTGGTGGAGGAACTAAGACACGAGTTGGACATCATTGGAGATGCACTAAGCAGGCTAAACAAACAGCTAGGAGTCTGAAAAACTACATTTCCAAGCAAATCATCCATTACTTCATGCTCACTTGTTTTGTATACTCTCCAAATAATGTATGGCATGAATTTGTCATGCTGTATATGTCTCTACCAAACGAAGTCAAATCCTCATGTGTCTATTTATATTATTAGTTTGACTCTTGTTTGATTAAATATTTGGCTCAACAAAAGCTGAAGCTCAATGCTTCCAATTGGACTTCTTGTGTTATAAGTGAGATTTCTACTTGATATTTATGCAAGGCGACCACGATGGTTATGGTTGTGCAAAGTTGATGTCGGCTGATTTCAATTTGGCACCTAATGTGTATTTATGAAGAGATATTGTCTGATAAATATTTTAGTATACTGATTTACTTTATGTTTCATTTGTGCACAATATATAGTTGTTTTTTATCATTGTGAGTCTACGAAATATTCAGCATTTTTAGTGTTATTGACAGATGTTTCTTGATATAAAATGGATGTCTACGTGGAGTAGGTCCTGAGGGTTTATGTTTATTTATTAAAAATGCATGTAAATGTTGCATTGGAAATCAAATGAAAGAATATTTTTTACAAATGAACATTAAGTTAATTAACAAGAATGCTTAGCGAATGTCAAGTTTGTCAGTATGAGTATCAGTTCCAAGTTTAAATATAGAGAAATGTATTGCTAAAGATTATATATTCATATGCTTATAACAAAAAAATAAATCATTGTTTTTTACCGTTTCTTCTTTTCTTTCTAGGTTTGTTCTAATGTACGAACAACGCGCGTTGTCGATTCACAACTTAGTTTACTATGTTTCAAAAGCCGAAATCTCGAGCGAGTGTTATTCAAATCTCAGGACATTATTTGTCTTATTGGAGACATAAGTAAAATCCCTCATTGCTGTAAATTAATTATATGAGTGCAGTTTACCTAATAAACAAATGGAAAGCGGGCCCAGTAGTATCCGTAAACTTCTTTTTTTTTAATCAAGCGATTGTGATTGGTTCATCTTGACAAGAGCTGAGAAAAGTAACGGCCGTCACGTGACCTCTACGTCTTTTTGCTGTTTGGCCTTTACCCACAAAGATGATGAGTATACTTGGAATATTTGCACAAAGTTGGGTGTTGTTATATGCTATTATTATTATTAACTTTTTAAAATGATTTTTGTAGGATTCATATGTTTTTTTTTTGTTTCTTCAGAAGTAGGCTATCTTTGTTATTGTCCCGTTTTTTATATGGTCTGACAGAGTGAGTCATTTTAGCACTCTATTATGGTCTATCTATGGTTTTCTGTTATATTATTGTACTTATTAATTTCCTTGCCTTTGAATAATCCATTTTGCTACTTGGTTATGACTTGTTTTTTTATTTGTATTTACACAATATATAAAATAAATATAAAATGTTTGTTTTAGAAATAAAATTGTATAATTGTATTATTGAATTACTTGTATTAATATGTAGGCTATATTTAATATGTATTTTTTTAAATTTTATATTAAATGTAAAAAGTATATCATAATAATATTATAATATCATAATTAAAAATATAATCATAGAATATTCATATAATAATTTTAATTGAATTATTACAATTATTATAGTTTAACTGTGATCAAATTTAATGATTTTACTTAGTGTGTATATGTGTTTATTTGTTTTAAATATCGAACTTGAATTTAGTTTTTCATATCAAATATAAAACATATTAGTATTTTCATACAAACTCGGGTGGCCGGGACATTTGCAATATTTGCAAAGCCAGATATGGTGATGAAAAATATCCTATAAACACAGAGGATTGGATTATGTGCATTGTTTGTGAGGACTATTTCCAAGAGAAGTGTGGCGAGGAGAATGGCCTCATTGAAGACGGGCTGTATTGACATGTAGACTGTACAAAAAAGAAATTAAATTTAGTCTGTGTGGAATAAATAATTCTATACGAAGAAGTGTTCATGAAGATTCCTGTTTTTTTAAATGAAATAAATCAATCCTAATAATTGTGGATAGGTAAGGAAGGGAGGGAGGGGGTGGAAAAATGTTATGTATTATTTTAATTATTATTATAATTTAAATATCATAATATATAGATAAAAATAGATAAAAATAAATAAATGATAAAAAAACATATATTATTATCATTCGATTCAAAAGTAGAATAATATTTTAATAAAATGTGTGACTTATGTGTGCAAAAGTAACTTCCGATCCGATAAACCCCGCCCACTTAGGCTACCCACTGACGTTTCATGATGTCATCAATGTGCGGGTAAATCTGATGGAAGGAACTCAGCTGTCAAAATGTGTACTTTACACGTGGGTAAGTTTTATTTAGCCTACTTTTGAAAACGCAAAGCTTGCAAACAAGTATTGGTACCAGTCTACAATCCTTATATCCACGAGAATACGCGAACATGTAACAGTATAAATTAAAATAAGCAGTCTCAAATAATTATAGCTCACAAAAACAGCGCTTCCTGAGCAATAAATCGTGATTCTGTATCACAGGGAGCGAACAGTTCCGGGCAGCTGGGGCAGGGACACACGGAAGATCAAGCCGAGCCGCGGCGCGCACACGGCGGACTGCAGGCAGAGCAGGTCCGCTGCATAACCGGAGGAGGCGGGCATTCGGCTGTCATCACTGGTTAGCTGGCCTATAACACTATTAAAAATAATAGATATTAATGCTAACACTCTGAAAGGACACGTCGTTCGAATTAGTAAAATAATCCTTTAACTGTTTCAGTATTTGCTGACATTGACATTATATATTTATGGATCAATGGCGCACTCTAGTGGACACTTTGAAGTATGACAACAACATTTCTCCATCCAGAGTCAGGTGACCTGCTGATGTGTGGACACAACAACAAAGGTCAGTTAGGGCTCAGTCACACTTCAGAGGTCATAACCTTTCAACCCTGCCCTTTGTCTGGGTGGGGAAGAGTTCAGCAGGTGTCCTGCGGTTGGGACTTCTCTATTATCCTGACAGGTGAGTGGTTGGGTCGTCAATTCCATACTCGTATTCATATCCTGGAAAAATAAACGAGCATGCGGATATTGCAGACATCAGTATTATTGAGTTTTTTTAGAGGTTTGAGTTGATCAAGTGCACTTAGTTGAGCCTGTTGAACCTGCCTGTTGAGACTTCCTCTTGTTGAATTCAGTGCTGAATAACTGTGTCTGTCAGGTGACGGTCAGGTCTTGGTGTGCGGCTCCAATGCTTTTGGACAGCTGGGTGTCTCACCAAGGATATCACACTCAGCAGAACCTTTACATGTGAAGGTGGGAACTGAAAAACATAATGAGACTCTTACTTAACAGTTTTTTTTATGTGTGAGGATTGTAATAAAGTCGTGCTATGTTCTGCTTACAGACACTGAATGAACCTGTGACTAGTGTCGCTGCTGGCCTCAGACATGCTTTAGCAAGCACAGGTATTACTTGTGACTATATCAAATAAATATCAGATCTATGCATTTGTTTCAAGTAAATGTTATAATTAATATGATATTTTTCTAATTATTATAATTTAAATGTTATACTACTGTAAAAAAAAAAAATACTAAAAATAAATATAGATTGTTTTTTATTAAATGTAAGAAATAATTTTATATTTAATTGTAACTTTTATTATTGAATTATTTATATTTACTTATTTTGCTTAGTTGGTATATATATATGTATACTTGTTTTAAATACTGAAAAAAGCTAAATACTTTAATTATTTAACTTTACTTTTAATTATTTAAAATTCAAATTATTTTGTAATATTATTATGTGTTTAAAATATTGAAAAATATTATTGTTATTATATAATATAATATGTAATGATATGTACATGTATGTAAAATGTTTAAATATTTGATTTATATTTGTTTTAAATATTGAAAATAAATATAGGTTTTATATATTAAATATAATAAATTATATATAATTAAATTCATTCTATAATTATCATAAAAATAATATTTAATTATTTGTCTTGCCTGGTATATGTATATATTTGTTTTGAATACTAATCATTGAAAAAAAAAGCGAAAAAATGTTACATTTAAAATTCTAGTTGCATATTAAATATATTTTAATATTTTTATTTGTTTAAAATATTGAAAAATATTATTATTATATAATTTAATATGTACATGTATATAAAATATGTTTAATTATTTGATTTATATTTGTTTTAAATATTGAAAATAAATATAGTTTTTTATATAACATTTAAAAAATGATGAAAATTTAAATTAAATCAATAATTATCATTTAAAAATAATATTTATATTACTGGTATATGTATATATTTGTTTTGAATATTAAACATTGAAAAAAATGAAAACATTTTACATTTAAAATTCTAATTACATATGAAATATATTTTAATATTATACTTTTAAATGTATAAAACAAATAAATATAAGTGTTTAATTATTTATGTAATAATATAATTAGCTATTAAATAAATTTTAGTACTATAATCAACATTTAATTGTGTGTTTTTTTGTGTGTGTATAAAGCTTCAGGTTGTGTTTATCAGTGGGGGACGGGCCTGTTGAGCCACACTAAGAGAATGTTGAGTCCACAACCTGTTCCTGCTCATCTGTCCTCTAAAGAGCCCTGCCTTGTCCCGGGTAACATTCACACACACACACACACACACACACACACACACACACACACAGTTGCTCTTAAACTGTTAAAGCTAAATGAGCCTCACAACACATGATACACAAGATCTTACTCCTATTTAATTATTGTCTGTTAAATGATATATTTAATTAATTTACAGCACTTTCTGATCTGCAGGGTTAGATCATGTGACCCCACAGAAGGTAGTTGCAGGCTCCACCCACTGCATTTGTTTGACAGGTGAGAGGATTTTTCAAACAAATCAAATCAAGCCCTCTGATTAGTCAGGACAGAGATCGTAGAGTTCCACCAAAGCATTTGACTCCCATATCTCCACAGCGAAGGGTGACGTGTTCCTCTGGGGCAGCAATAAACACGGTCAGCTGGTCAGCGAGAGTCTCTTCCTGACACTTCCTGTGGCGCTGGATCGTTCTCTGCTGCGGGGCGAGAGAGTGACCACCGTTCACAGCGGCTGGACGCACCTCGTCACAAAAACAGGCGAGCCGCACTACACAAGTCTCACACAAATCTTTATTTTCTTGTGATATTGTTTTCAATATATGATCTGTTTACAGAGAGTGGGCGGGTCTTCACATGGGGCAGATCCAATTACGGACAGCTAGGACAGACCAATCAGGATACGAAAAAAAAAGAGTCTGACGATTCAACCAGCTCTGGGAAAACTATAAGCCGCCCCGTCGAGATTAAAGCTTTATTTGGAGCAACACAGGTATGTTGTCAGCCATATACTGCAAAGTAGCCATGATTTTACCACAAATAATAATTCAAAGTTAATTGACTACTAGAGCCCAACCAATAAAGGATTTTGAAGGCCGGTACCGATACAAATGTTTTTCGGTTTTAAAATCCGATATTCCGATATATCGGCCGATATTTTATTTATTTATTTTAAACTGGACATGATAGTCACAAATTTTGTCATGCTTATTTGAGTTAAGAGAACTGATGGGGATGTTCTTTTAATTGTTATTCAAGCAATGTATGTCTCGTGCCCAACTCAACAAGTGTTGCCAACAGGGACTGTGTAAAGTGCCCTCTGGTGGACAAACTATACAACTCCAACACTCATGACATGGTTCAAGCGTGTTTCGTCTGTTTTTATTTTATTTTTGAAATATTCATTTAACGGCCATTATAACTGCTGTCCGATAGTTTAGAAAATGGAAAATGCCTAATATCGGCCGATAATATCGGCCTGCCGATATATCGGTCTGGCTCTATCGTTAACTGTGGGAAAATCACTGCACTGCTTTTCGTGGCTTATTGTGAAGTGGTAATAAATACAGTAGGGGTGCACGATATATCGGCCACCATATCGGTATCGGTCGATATTTGCTAATTTTTGTTATCTTTATCGGCCCGATAATAAAATTTGACTGATATATTAAAGCTGATAAATTATGAATTATTTCCTTCAACACTTGACACCTGAGACACTTAAGATGCGCACTGTTCAACATGATTGATCTTAATTGCTTGAAATATGATTGGAATCAAAAAGGAAAATATAGTTAAGTGCAAAATGTGCTGTCATATCATATGTCATAATTGTGTTACGGGACGGATTTTAATTGTGAAACTTTTGTTTTTTCAATCAGGCTTTCAAAAATTCTATAAAAATTGGATTTAGATTTATCGGCCGATATATCGGTTATCGGCTTTCAAATATAAAGAAATGTCGGCCATTTCAATTTCTCCCACATACGAAAATCATGCTTTTGGTAAATCGTAATTTTGAGATGTGTAAATCGTAATTATGGCACAAAAAGTCAGAATTATTAGATAAGTCAAAATGATGATTTCATCATAATTATAATAAAAAGGGGAAATTATGAGGGGAAAATTCAAAATTATGAGACAAGAAGTTGAAATTATGAGATCAAAATTGTGATATATTAACTCATATTTAGAGATAAAGTCAAAATTTATTCAAAATATATATAAATTTAGTCAAAATTAAAAATGTAAATTATGAGATAAATCGAAGTTATGTCATATTATAAGATTAAAAAATATATATTATGAGAGTCAATATTATGAAATAAAAAATGTAATTATGAGGTAAAAAGTTGTAATTATGAAAAGTCAAAATGATGGCAAACTAAATCATAATTATTATTAGATACAAAGTTGATATTATGATATACTAGTAAACCATATTATGAGATTAAGAATTAAAACAAAATATACATTATAATAATAATATTATAGTAAATTATAATATACATGGAATTGTGAGATAAAAAGTCAAAATGATGGCATACTACATTTTAATTATGAGATAAAATGTTAAACTATGAGATCAAGAGATAATCAGAATTTTGATGTCATAATTTTAACTTTTGACTTAGTATGTAACAATTTCGACTTTTTATCTAATAATTATGATTATGAATCATGTCAAAATGATGATTTACCAAAGCGTGATTTTTCTTCTGTTGTGGAAACACACTTGCACTCATAGGCAAGAGAAAGCAGTATGTATAGTCGTCCAGTAGGGGGTGAAAACACACTGTACATCCCCACAGTCCTTCCTCACATCTGCCCAGAGACACACACTGATTTGATCTGAAGGTCATCACTTGTCTTACACCATAGAAAATGCAGCATCTGTGCGCGTATTATTGAAGAGAATGACTCGATGACAGTGTTTTATGCTCAATCTCAGGTTTTACGTGTATGATGAGTCACCGAACCTTGAAATTAAAGATCGGCCTTCAGATACTGTGAGCGAGAGAAAAGAGACATTTGGCATTTACATCTTTTTGCATTGGTTCTTCAAGTTCAAGAACAGGGACGTGTTGTCCAGACTGCGAAACATATTTCTCTCCTTGCGTGACTTTGCTTTGCACGCTCACCACTTTCTGCCAGGTCGATAGACTTCATGTCATTTTTAATCCTCAAAAGTTGCTTACGCTACAACGTCCTGCCATGTCGATGAGAGGAACTGAGGACGGGACAGGGGACGTTATCCTCTGTAAGGGTCTGGGGACACATTTAGCCTTCAATGACTAATCGAGTATAAAGTTTTCCTGCTAAATTGTTAAGCTGAGGCTTAAAGGGATGGATCTGTTATCATTAAAGGGATAGTTCACTTTGAAATTAATTTTTGGTATGTTTTAGCTTACCTCAAGTGTCTTTGTTTCCGCAGTATTTTCAATTTTGATATTTTTAGGTCAAACCGTACTTGTCTGTCAGTCATATAATGGAGGTCTATGGTCACCACCTCAAAGAGCATGCAAGTCCAAATTATGATTTAATTATTATCATGATTTAATGACTCTGAATGTAAGTACACATTGATGGCCTAAGACACGAAACGAGCGGTTTGTGTGAGAAAACGAACAGTATTTATATTGTTTTTACCTCTTGTTACCACAGCCACGTCCAACTGATCTGAGGGCGCGGGCGTTTTGTGGCTGTGGTTACAAGAGGTAAAAAATATGAATATGAATACCCGTGGCTCCTGGCGATTCAGTTTCTTGCACAGACCGATCGTTTGGCTTCATAAGACCTTCATGAATCATCAGGAGTCACAGGTATTCATTTTGTTTTGCCTGTTTCTTTTTGTTTTGTTTTTTGACTCTCAAAGTGATGGCAGCCATTAACTCAACCTAAAAAAATAAGTGTGTAATGTTGGCATCTGACTCTGATGATGAATAACAAATAAACTTTTCATACAGTAGGCTGCACTGTTGAATACAGTGTATAGTGCGTCATTTGGGACACAACTTCACTAAGCCTTTAAAACCATAAATTGTAGTATGTTTTTTAGCACCAGTGACAGTCTATATTGTGTCTAAACTGTTGTTTAGACTTCAGATCAATTGTTTCCACCCCCAAAAGGCATAGTGGCCAATCAGGGGGGAGTTAGCATCCTCACTGGCTCCAGACTGTGAGATTTCCTATCAGTAGATGAAACATAATACTGCGTTCTATAAATGACGGCGTTCCTTCCTGGATACGGAGCTGAACTCCCAGTAATGGGTGGTGTAATTTCTTAATGAGTTTGTTCACACGTGAAGGTGCAGCCGACAGTCAGTTTCACACATGCATCCGGAGCGCTGGAGTCCTGCGGTGTGTGTGTGTGTGTGTGTGTGTGTGTGTGTGTGTGTTCCCACAGTGAGGCTTCATCACAGTGCCTGAACATGTCTGTGTGGGACACCTCGCCCTGTTCTTCTTTATCAATGGCATGGGTACAACATATTATGTTATATATGATATATAGGTTATTTTAAAATATAAAGTTTATATAGATTTAATAGTGTGTGTGTGTGTGTGTTTTAAAATAAAACTAAATATAATAAAGAAAATATAATATTAATAAAATATTAAAGAAATATTGATATTTCACTTTTATACTTTATAATATAATTAGGGCTGTCAAACGATTAATCGTGATTAATCGCATCCAAAATAAAAGTTTGTGTTTACATAATATATTTGGGTGCACTGTGTATAATTATTTTGCATATATATAAATACACACACACATGCATGTATATTTAAGAAAAAAATATTTTTTATATGTAAAATATTTACATTTATATATAATATACCGGTAAATTATATATAAATCTATATACAGTATATACATGAAAATATTTCTTAAATATATACAAGCGTGTGTGTGTGTGTGTGTGTGTGTGTGTGTATATATATATATATATATATAATTATACACAGTGCACTCAAATATATTATGTAAACACAAACTTTTATTTTGGATGCGATTAATCGTTTGACAGCCCTAAATATAATATACAGTCATATATGGTATTAAATAATTCATAATTAATTAAATATGTATAAACTGTATTTACTTTACATTTATATTTTATGATATTAATTTTAAAGAAAATATAATTATATAAATTATTTATATATTGTATTAAATTATTAATGGATAATTACATAAAATATACTATTAATTATGTTACATAATATTAATTGTGTGTTTGTACTGTATTTTAAAATAATACAAAATATAATTATATATATATATATATATATATTACTAATATAATTAAAAATTATATCATTATTTATTTATATTTATCATTCTAAGTGCAAAATATACTTATAGATAGATAGATATTTAGATTGTATATCAATATTTTTGGTTAATTTTATATTAAATATTTTTATTTAATAATATAATTTGATGGGAATGAGATTTGGTTGGTCGCTACACTTGTCGGTTCAAGAGTTCATTTCTTGGCCATCTGCGTGTTTTAGCGCTCGCTGCCAATGATCTGACAGCAGTTCTCAGTGGTTTGGACAGTCCCTGTCCTCTGTCTGAAAGCTGTTTTGACTGGCTGTGTGTGTTTGTGTTGCGTGGGGTCAGCTGGGGACGCTGGCTGGACGGGGTTGTTTTGTTGGTGATGGCGGGAGAAGCAGAATACATCAGGACAGATCATGGTTGTGGAGTCTGACAGGAGGCAAAGACGTCGCTTTGTTCTTTCACTATCAGTTGACACAAAGTCCACAGCGGAGGCGAGCAGAACGTCCTTGTGCTTCACCCAGAACAGGCAACATTGCTATTTAATGCTAATATATATACATATATATAATTTATATATATATATATATATATATATATATATACAGAATTTAAGTGCAAATAATTCTTAAATATATACATGCATGCATAGGTATTTATATATACAAAATAATTAAATACAGCACACACAAATATATTATGTAAACACAGACTTTTATTTTGGATGTGATTAATCGCAATTAATTTTTGCACAGCCCTAAAATTTTATATAATTTGAGAAATATTCTGTAAATGCTTCTAAATTAATAAATAAATAATTTCTAAATAAATAAAAGGAAGTATTCTAATATCATACTATATATAATATAAATTTAGAAACATTTATAGATTATTCTAAATTAATAAAAATAATTACATATTCCATATATTATTACAAATGAATTATAGCAAATTAATAAATTGTTTTTCTCATGCTTACAGCAGTGTTATGTCTTCCAAAGTCAAATACCGAAAGATTAGCTTTAGGTTTATATATATTTGATTGGTCGTTAAACAAAAGAAGTTTCAAGCTTCTTTCAGGCCCACCAGCCATTTACCATGATGCACCAGTATAATTTCCATTAATACGAGTGTGTTTGTGTGGACGGCATCCTCTCAGCTCCGGCAGACAGTATTAGCGATGTGTTTTTATCCACTAGCAGCCCATTTCCTCTGCGTAATGAGCTCTGATCACCAAACATTAATAAGCCAACCAGAGACGCCCGGTCACCCACTCACATCCTCACCGGTTGTCATGGTAATGGACATATGACTCCAGCATTGGGGCTGGTTGTGTGTTAATCACTCTCCTCGTACCCGCTTCCCAGTAGGGAATGTTCGATTCAGACATCCCGACTTTTGTTACATGTGATCCTATGTGTGACCTGAGTCAAACTCAGTTTGTCGTCTGTCTGCGGTTATTGCGTTTGGACTGTGAGCATGTAAGAGCATGTGATGAGTGTTTCTCACAAATTTCTCCCTGTTTTTTTTTTTTTTTTTTTTTTGCAGATCGCTTGCGGATCTGAACACAACTTGGCTGTTGTGGGTGAGTACAGTGAGAAATTGAGGATTTGATTTGATTTCGTAAGCATGCATGACTCTTTGCACAGAATACTCTGGGATTATGTTAGGAATGTTTGCAGTATGTAGTCTCCATGGCAACACCTGTTGTCTTCATGGCCCATAACAGTCATTGGAAAGAAAGCTGCCAAGGCCTCCGTCACGCACTCTTAGACCTGAGTACCGAGAGTCAATCTTTGCCGCCCATCGGAGAAACAAACGTTATGAGATGTGCATTAGATGCACGCAGTCGGGGTTTTCTGTGAGCATTGTCGAGTGAATCTCTCAAAGAACATGTTCAGGTCATAGTTCACCCCCCCAAAAAGTCAATTAAATTGATTAATCGTGATTAATCACGATTAATCACATTTCGCATAAAGATATGCTTTTGTAAAAATTAAGCCATTATTATCATGACAATAAAAAAACATTTCCCTCAAAATGTCTTAAGTGTAATGCATCTGAATGTTTTACTTTACTGATGTTTGTCATCATCCTTAATGATGTAATATTTATTTATTGCTCGATTTTGTATAAAATGAAGCCATATTATCTTATATATTATTTTAAGCCATATATTATTTTATTGACAATCAAGCACATTTCCCTTAAATTCTTTTTACTGTATTTACATTTGAATGTTTTACTTTTGTGTGTGTCATAATCTTAAATTATCATATTTATTATCTTTTAATACAAATATTTTTTATAAAATTATTACATTTACATTTTTTATTTATTTAGCTAACATAAAACATACATAGGATGATGACAAGCACTAAGGTACAAACACTGTGTGTGTGTGTGTGTGTGTGTGTGTGTGTGTGTATATATATATATATATAGAGAGAGAGAGAGAGAGAGGGCTGTCAAACGATTAATCGCGATTAATCGCATCCAAAATAAAAGTTTGTGTTTACATAATATATATGTGGGTGCACTGTGTATAATTATTTTGTATATATAAATACACACACATGCATGTATATTTAAGAAATATTTCCATGTATATACTGTATATAGATTTATATATAATTTATATTATATATAAATATAAGTATTTTATATATTAATAATATTTTTTTCTTAAATATATGCATGTGTGTGTATTTATATATATATATATACAAAATAATTATACACAGTGCACCCACATATATTATGAAAACACAAACTTTTATTTTGGATGCAATTAATCGCGATTAATCGTTTGACAGCCCTAATATATATATATATATATATATATATATATATACATACATACACACACACATACTGTATATACAGTATTCTTTATAGGTTTCCTGACTTGCATCAGATTCTCTCTTGCATTGAGGTTCATCACTTATACAGTTGCCATGGCAATCATTCTACAGTATCTTTAGGTGTGAAGTATCTTATTATGGGATGTGACTGCTCTAACATTGAGCCGGGGGAGAAAAGAGACAGAATTAAAGGAGAGTAAGCCAGAGATTCCACTAAGCCTGATGGCCAGAATTAACTCTGGAACCAGCTCTGGCTTCTGTACTTTTGAGACTTCAGACAGTGTCTGGATTTCAGTAATAGGACATTTTCAGCACTACGTCTTTAGCATTAGTTAGAGATGAGTATCTGTTGCTGGAGTAATTAAGCCGCCGCTCCACGCTGTGATCTTTAGCATATCATAGAAGGATGCTGGGAATTAGTCCCTGTGCCTTTGTGCAAGGGCATCAGAGGGAAATGAGCAATCACTGAAAAGAAAATGAAGGCAGTTTTAAATATAAGAGAAGCTATTTCTATTTCTTTTATTTGTTAATTCAACAAAGTAACTCCATTGACTAATTGCAGTTCATGCAGTGTTTAAAACTTATGCCTTCTTGCTGTCTTTGCCTCAAGTTACTGTAACATTACTCTGTTGTATTTTGTCCCAAAATCAAAAGGAAAGATGAAAATTAATATTTTGCATAAAACAACAATGCCTTCTTAGACCATTAAGACTTTTTTTGCATTATTATTATTATTATTATTATTACAAATTCTCATTACCATCATGCAGAAATATATATTTGTACATTGTAGTGCCTTCCCTGTCTAAGGGCAATGGTATCCTCTCTTAAATTTTTAGACCATTGTTTTGACTTAGCCATATTTTTAACATAGTCAAACGTGACACTCAACAAACCTAGCCAGTTCAGGTATGTCATGTGTTCTAGCTCAAGCACACCTGATGCAACTAATGAAGCCCTTGATTAGTTGCATTCAGTCAACAGCTGTTGCAGATTGTGCTGTTGTGAGGGGGTTGAATCTTGCCAATAAAACTGATTTGCAATGGGGTTTGAATAATATCAGTTACAATTATTTATTTATTATATTATTATTTTTCATAGTAATGGTAATACAGTATTTATTGTGGTTTAATTTGTATATATATAATTATTTAATGGTACATTTTATTTAAATTATGAAATATATTTAAATCTTTAAACTTTAAATGAGATTAAATGAGTTTAGGGACTGTGTGCATCATACACCACTGAGCAGTGGGCATGTTCAACCATCTTTTGTTTGAAACGAATCACACAGCCATGTCTTTTTTATTTCATTATTTCTCTTGTCTAGATTAGTATGCTGTCCTATATGTTTCTATGGTCTGTAAGTGTGTTGCTATGGGAACAGTTTAGCTGTGCATCTGTGACTGAACACTAGAGGAATACACATCATCCACACTCAAATACAATGATTTGGTAAACAAAACAAAAATCCTCATGTTTTTATGTTCACAATGTTATTGTCATGCACAAGTGTCCTACTTTTATTTTTTTATTTATAATTCTGCATAATTGTAGCCCGCTTATAGAGAAAAAAAGAATGAATTTATAAAGACTTTAAAGTGTTACGGTGTATAGGGAAGTGTGGGGAGAGAGAAAAAAAGGGCGGGAGGGTGACAAAACGAGTTACCCTTGAGAAAGCATCCTCGCTCATGGTTGCCGTGGTGACAGGACCTGTTATGTAACCATGTTGCCGTGGCACGTGCTTCCATGGCGATGAGGGCTTGACCACACCCACCAGCTGGACGTGTTCAGTTAGACTGCAGGACGGTCTGAATGATTCACAGGTGTGATGTGTGCAAGAAACCTGCTTCATGGAGCTTTTTTTCATTCTGAATCATTTTAACATCCCAGTGACATTTCTTACTTTTCATTATTAATTTTGTGAATGCTTTTACCAAAACTACTTAAACATTTCAGTATGTATGTTTGCTGTGAATCGAACCTTTGATGTTGCAAGCTTGATAGTCAGTCAGTCTGTCTATATACCTGTCTGTCTATCTATCTATATACCTGTCTATCTGTTTATCTGTCTGTCTATCTATCTATACACCTGTCTGTGTGTCTGCCTGTCTATCTGTCTATTATCTATACGCCTGTCTGTCTGTTTATCTGTGTGTCTATACACCTGTCTGTCTGTCTGTCTATCTATATACCTGTCTGTCTGTCTGCCTCTCTATACGCCTGTCTGTCTTTCTGTCTGTCTATCTATCTATACGCCTGTCTGTCTGTCTGTCTGTCTGTCTGTCTGTCTGTCTGTCTATCTATCTATATACTTGTCTGTCTGTCTGCCTCTCTATACGCCTGTCTGTTTTTCTGTCTGTCTATCTATACGCCTGTCTGTCGGCCTGTTTGTTTATCTATCTGTCTATTATCTATACACCTGTCTGTCTGTTTATCTGTCTGTATATCTATTCGCCTGTTTATCTGTCTGTCTGTCTGTCTATCTATACACCTGTCTGTCTGTCTGTCTGCCTCTCTATATGCCTGTCTGTCTTTCTGTCTGTCTATCTAAACGCCTGTCTGTCTTTCTTTCTGTCCTGTCTGTCTGATTATCCGTGTCAATCTATACGCCTGTCTGGCTGTTTATCTGTCTGTCTGTCTATCTATCTATATACCTGTCTGTATGCCTCTCTATATGCCTGTCTGTCTTTCTGTCAGTCTATCTATACACCTGTCTGTCTGTTTATCTGTCTATATACCTGTCCGTCTATCTATCTATATACCTGTCTGTCTCTCTACCTCTCTATATGCCTGTCTGTCTTTCTGTCTGTCTATCTATACTCCTGTCTGTCTGTCTGCCTGTCTGTTTATCTATCTGTCTATTGTCTATACGCCTGTCTGGCTGTTTACCTGTCTGTCTATCTATACACCTATCTGTTTATCTGTCTGTCTATACTGTATATACGCCCGTCTGTCTGTCTCTCTGCCTGCCTGTCTATGTGTATTTCTGTTTATCTGTCTATCTGCTTGTCTGTTTATCTGTATATCTGCCTGCCTGTCTATCTATATGCTTGTCTTTCTGTCTGCCTTCCTATCTTGCCTGTCTGTATGTCTATCTATAAGTCTATCTGCCTATCTGTCTATTTACATACCTGTCTGTCTGTCTGTCTGTCTGTCTATCTATTGTTGTGAATCAAGTTGCAGCAACATTGTCATGGAATATATTTCACTGTCTCTCTTCAGGGGGTCGGATATTCTCCTGGGGCTGGAACGAACACGGAATGTGTGGAGACGGTTCCCTTTGTGACATCAGGCAACCACGGCCAGTCCCTGGTCTCGCAGACGCTACGGCTCTTCTGATTGGCTGTGGAGCAGGACATTCAATGGCACTATGCAGTTTGAAGAGCAACAAGGATTCTGCAAGCTAAACAGGTTTCAGCATTTGTCTCTCTCTCCGTTTGCTTTCGTTACGTTTTAATGAATTATTCAGAAAGACATGTTTAAGCCTTTAAAGGACAGATTTATGATCAAAGTCTCAGAGATGCAAATACTACCTACGGATGATCACATTATGCTAATGACATCAGGAAATAAACAGGCACAAGAACACTAGGCCCAATCATGCAAATATTCATAGCTTAAAGGAGAGACCTTAGGTTTTGTTTTTAAAATTATAATGACATTTATATGGCTTTTTTTTCTCCAATTAAATACCCAAAAAAGTACATCTTTATGCAATCAGTGATGTATTTCGGCGTGTATATGCTGTCCTTGTGCCTTCACAACCATTCAGAAAGACATTCACGCTTCCTTTGCTGTGATCGACGGTCAAGGATCATTTCCTCTGACTTTTCACCCCAGGGACAGAGAAGACCTTTAAATAACCTTCACCGTAAATACACTGTAAAACCGATTTACTGCTAAGAAAAGACCTGTCTGAAAACAATCAATCTCACAGAATACCCAATGATGGAGTAATAATCTACTGAAGATACTCCATAAAGCTTGAAAAACCCACACAACACACAAAATCTGTTTTAGTGTTTTTTATTATCATTGGGGTATTTTTTCTTGTTTTTTTTTCTCTCTTCAGAAAGACACAAAATTGCCTTAACAATGTCAACTCAAACCATCAATGAAAACACCACCTGGTTTTAAATAACTATCCATACTATGCACTGCAGTGAGCTGAAAAACACAAGGAACGTCTCACAGCACAAACGTTTTTGCCTGGGAGTTTGCAAAACTATTCAGTCCCAGTGACTGTACACATCTTGAGTTTTATTTATATGTATAATATATATATATATATTTATTACTCATTGATGTTTGTGCTCTGATGTTGTCGGGTCTTTAAACAGTCCAGCATATTGTAAGGAAACGACCCAATGTTGACATTCCTGTGATGCAACTGGCAGTGCGCTAGTTTGGTCCCAAAGAACTGGGTTTACTTCACATTTTCACAACAATGAAAAATAAACGTTGAAAAAATAAACATAACAGTATCGGTTCCTTTCATATTTTCCATCATAAACCCTGTATGTTCTTGTTCTCTATAAAGAGTCGTGTTGTTATACAGTGCAGGATTGTCTCTTGTGATGGTTTTTATGAAAACCGCTATAATAATGTGTCTTCCAAAATTGCTTGTATATTCACATTGAATTTTCAAATGCAAACTAAGCGTTTATTAAACATATTCCTCACAAAACTCAATGATGGTGTCATTCCTTCAAAAATTTTGAGTTTGGTCCCAGTGATAAGCTTATAAGCCTTGGTATTTCACCTTCAAATCCAACACCACATTCTAACCAGGCGCGACACTCCATTTTTTTTTTTTTTTTACGCTCAGTGAAAATGCTATGCAACACGCCAATCACAGCCACTGACAATGTATATTAAACATCAAATATGAGTGAAATTTTGGACCAATGCGATTCAATTCGGGGCGGAGCTTCCCAGCATGTTATGGTGCGTTCTATTATTCATCCGAATCGGACGACAGATGTTGCCTAGCAACACGCCAACTTTCCTCGGATTTCTCCTCTCGGACGTCGGACAACCGTGAGGACATTCATCCGTTTCGGAATTCAAGATGGCTGCGCCCTGTGACTTGTAAGAATGAATTGTTTTCGTTGTTTTTGAACCGCTTTGGTATTTTAAATGACGATTATAATCACTCGTATTACTGCGTCCCCTGTAGGTATGGGAATCGGTTGTTGTGAGTGCAATTACTAACGTTGCTAGCGTTGCTAACAGAAGATTAACATGAAAAACATTAAATAAAGTGAACATTTTCAAGTTCCAATGGCTGCGTTTTGATAAGTTCTAGTCATAATATATATTTTTTAATGTAAGTGCCTGGTACTCGGGCAGTGCTACCATTATAACAGCTTTCCGGGTGGTGTCCATTTTTTTCTCCGACTTGGACACGCAAAATGTGACGTCAAATCTGAGGTCCGAGTCGGTTCGTTGGCTATAATAGAACGCACAATTAGGTTGCGCATAAGCCCTGAAAAGTGAAGCCAAAACATCTTGATCGCCCCCGGTGGCCGGTCCTAGTATAGGTCATAAACCCCGCCTCCCCATGTTATTCAACGGCACGTGAGACCAACTAAACCATTTAATTACACTTCAGATATCGTTTTTCCAAATATGGTTTCTTTCATTTACTGTAGTTATCACGCTGATGTAATTTCAAGTGTTTGTTTTTAGTTAGTTATTTGATTGACAGCTGTGATTGACAGGTTCTCTGAGCGTAGTAGTCACTGAAGCACCAACACTTTTTTCGGGATCTTCGGAGGACTGAGGAAATTGGGGCTTTAAATTTAATATCTAAATTTCTATAATTAATTTTAAAAAAAAGTGCATGAGCGTGTTCTTGCGATTGATTCTGCGAGAGTGAGGGCGGGGCCTTGATTTCGTGGCTCACTATTGCGCATGTCTGGTCCCGAAATCGCTTCTGCGCAGACTCAAGTTCCAAGATGTCAGCGCCATATCAGGACACTCGCGGCTTCACTTCTGACCAATGGGAGAGAGCGAAGGGGCGTCGTCCATCTTTTTTTAAAGTCTATGGTCACGCCTGATTAGGACACGGTGCATCTCGAAAGAGACCAGCCAAACATGTGAGCTACAAAATATATCAAATCCGTCGTTTGTTTTACAGAAAGGAATGTAAAAGTGAACGGTGCAAACAGTGCAAAAGGCATTTCTACATGGTAACTACAGTAGTACAAAATACAGGAAAACTATTGCTTTTTTTTCCTCCCTACTCACACATGATCACAGAGCACATGTTTTCACTGTTTTCTTTTTTCCCACTGAAATGATTAGCGACTGGAGTAACATTTTTACAACATTTAAACCACCAAAAACAAACACTTCAACAAGATAAAAGAAAGATTTACTCAACACCAGCACATACAAGCACCATGTACAACACTGACACTCACGAACAGAAAAACAACAGGCACTTCGCACAGCACGACAAACCAAACCGCGCTACAGTACATACGGCTGAACAACTAGCTTCTGTGCTACATCTACGCTGAATTATTCTGTCACACCTCAAAGAAAAGTGCTAATCTACAACAAACACACAGCACACGCTCTCTCTCTCTCTCACTCACTCGCACACACACGCGGAAAATACGGTACTATCAGGTGGGGGATGTGGCTTTATGGTTGACACACATAGTGGTTGGTACACCATGGTTCATTACACACACTGACTCGGTTGGTTGTCTGCTTCGGTTGGCACGCCGGGTCTCTAAAAAAACACAAAGAGAAAACAACAACAACAAACAACAAGGAAAATCATATTAATACACCAAACGGACGGCACAGAAACATGGGGGAGGGGGGGTGGGCGGATGGAGAAGGCTGGCGGGATTGTTGTCCCTCGAACCGTGCAAGCAAACAGTGCGACTATGACCTCCTTTACAGGCTCATGGTAAACTTGGGCTTTTACCATGCGCTCTCCCATGCTCCAAACTACATTCATTCAGATCCAGTGTAAGTCTACAGTTAATTGTTAAAGGAACAGTTCCCCCAAAAATGAATATTTCCGGATTATTTTATCACCCCAGTGCCATCCAAGATGAGTATGACTTTCTATCCGCAGCCGAAGAGAAATGAAGGATTTGGGGGAAAACATTCCAGGATTTTTCTCCATCTAATGCCAGTGAATGATGCCCAAAAGAGACCATATTTGGCGGTTTAGCTTAAAAGTTCTCCACATGACAAATAAGGGCAAAATAATCAAATTATATACTTTTATCTACACATTTTCTGCCTTGGTCCAGCTCTGCGAAGTTGAAACGGTTGAGTTCACGACCTCTAGCACATTGGAAAGGTTACGCATGATGTAGGCGGCAAGAACCACACCATTTTCTACAAGAAGAGTTTACGTCAATGATACACACACAAACGCACCATTAACAGTAAACTGAGTAAAAAAAAATCATGGAATGTTTTCCGCCAAAACCTCCAAAATTTCTCTTCGGCTGAGAAATATATCCATATACATCTTGGAAAAAATAAATTTTTAGGTGAGCTGTTCCTTTAATATGAATAACTCAGGTCATGCTGTGTTTGGGTTTGTACGCAGTGGGACGGTATGACATGCTTGGTTAATGACTTGTGGCATGCTACCGGAGTGTGAAACAGGGCACGGTCACCGCTAGTCCTGCCTCGGCTCTCCTGTTTCAATCGCTTTACCGGGAGGTCACACACTTTCTCTTTGACCTTTCCCACCTTTCATGATCCAAGTGTGCTTGTGCATCCTTTTAACAGAACTGAATTATGAGGTGCATAATTTTTAAATGTGGACTGTAAAGTCCAAAAATAGCTGAGGGAAAAGCAGCTTGGTGATAAAGACGGGGTGAAAGATCAAAGAGACATCACAATACAGGCACATCTTATTGCCAAGCAACCGGGGAGTTATGTATGCATGTTCTGTCAAAGAAAACCAGAGTCTATATACAGATTGGATACAAAATTTATTTCATGCAAGGTTCATATTTACAGTTTTGTCATTCGCATATGTATTTTTGCATAAAAGTCCATGCATTTACCTCTCCCCAAGAAATCCCAAAAGTACATCGATTATTTTCTTTTTAAAAGACGCTTTTTTTCTGTTGACTGCACGATACATCAATATTATATATTTTCTGTGATTGCGTGTGATTTGCTACATTGTTAAATGTTTACAAATGTGATATACACATGTATTTACTCCATATTAATCACATTTGAAGCTGAATTTATGAAAAATATGGGTTTTGTGAAAATAAAGCTTCTTTATACAATAGCTGGTATTGTAATTGGAATTCTGCTATTTAAATTTGCCTGCTCTGGTTGAGAAAAAAATGAGTTAAAGTGCATCTTTTTCACTATTTGCATCTTAATACATTAGGCAAAAAGTCCGATGGTCAACTCGATTGCTGCTACTAACAGATATAGGGTGTTTAAAACACACCAGCGATCATAGTTTGGGGAAAGGCAAAAAAAAGAAAATGTCAGGAAAAATAAAATAACAGTTGCTACATATATTGTATGTCATCATAAATGATATCATACTCTGCATCAGGTATATTTAAAGAAGCTTTGGGTGAAAAAAAAAACATTTTTTCTTACATATTTTCAATATGCTTACATCGTTTTCTCAGATAGTTTCCCATGCAAAGCATGCAAATGCAAATGAAGTTTCTCCAGTCAACTTTTTTTTGGTGACGTGTGCAGAATCATGATTGTTTGGTGTTTCTTCAAACTAAGTTTATCTTATATATGAAAGAGCCATTGTCTCGTCTGTTTTCCTTTTAAATGGTGTCCATAAGCACCTAATGAAAACCACAGCTTTAAACACTCAGGGTTTAGGAGAAAGGAGTGATGAAGGAGAGATGAGGAAGAATGAAAGTGCAGAAATTTGAAAGTGAGGAAAGAAATGAGACTGCAAAGAGAAGGAAAGGTAGATGACACCACTGCAAGAGTAGAGTAGAGTAGAGTAGAGTAGAGAAGAGTACTGAAGAGTAGAGTAGACTCTAGAGTAGAGTAGAGTAGAGTAGAGTACTCTACTCTAGAGTAGAGAAGAGTGCTCTACTCTACTGTAGAGAAGAGGAGTAGAGTAGAGTAGACTAGAGTTGAGAAGAGAAGAGAACTCTACTGTAGAGAAGAGTTGAGAAGAGTACTCTACTGTAGAGAAGAGTTGAGAAGAGTACTCTACTGTAGAGAATAGTAGAGTAGAGAATACTCTACTGTAGAGTAGAGAAGAGTAGAGAAGAATACTCTACTGTAGAGTAGAGTAGACTCTAGAGTAGAGTAGAGTACTCTACTGTAGAGTAAAGTAGAGCAGACTCTAGAGTAGAGAAGAGTAGAGTAGAATACTCTACTGTAGAGTAGAGTAGACTCTAGAGTAGAGTAGAGTACTCTACTGTAGAGTAAAGTAGAGCAGACTCTAGAGTAGAGAAGAGTAGAGAAGAATACTCTACTGTAGAGTAGAGTAGACTCTAGAGTAGAGTAGAGTACTCTACTGTAGAGAAAGTAGAGCAGACTCTAGAGTAGAGAAGAGTAGAGTAGAGTACTCAACAGTAGAGTAGAGTAGAGAAGAGTAGAGTAGAGTACTCAACAGTAGAGAAGAGTAGAGAAGAGTACTCTACTGTAGAGTAGAGTAGACTCTAGAGTAGAGGAGTACAGTACTCTACTGTAGAGTAGAGTAGACTCTAGA